ATCACCATTTTTTATGGGTAAATCAACTATAAATGGTTATTTTCAATAGCTGTGTTGAATTACCAGAGGGTACTCCAATTCGTATGCTGTTGTCGGGGGTTGCTGCACCACCACCAATCGTTTTTGATGTGAACAGGAACCGTGAATCCGATGCAAAATGACGATCAGCGACCCACACTTGGAAACCGGACATGTCACTGGTTTTACCTTTATATTTGGTGGCGAAACCAAGATTTCCTTTTGGAACTTACCGCCTTTTTCCATGCCCTACAGTTATAACATGTTACAAGATGTTATAACCCTTAGCAGTTATAACTGGCGTTTTTTTAACCTCATTTGAGTGAAATTTACAACCCCAACACCTTACCAATGACAGTTTTGTGCGGCGCCAATTTGGTTCTCATGGATTGGTCTTTTTTTTTGGATCAAAACCCCTGTCGATGTGGCTGTCGGGGTGAATCTTTGTTGGTCCAATCCCACATAAAAATAGGGTATATTCATGATATATTTATATATATGCTTACAAACCAAAATGGTGTATTTAATCTTTACGTTATTGTTTAATCTGTTTTTTTCTAGCTGTTGCAAGTTGCTGTTAGAACATATTAGAAGAATTTTGGATAGCATTTGTTCTATGACTGTTTACCCAGGGATGATCCATCCATCGTACCCAGGAAGGATGGAGGTTGGCATTGCACCCGCTGTTCCAAGCCACCTGCGCAGCCTGCGCAGCCCGCGGAGCCTGCGCGGTTGCATGGTGGAGCCATTATTTTTCGCCAGTTCGTTTGGATTTACCAAACTTGAAAATCCCTGCTTCATGTATCTGGGTAGATTATAACGACCTCACTACGACCTCACCTCACTGTTCTCCCTCACTGGAAATCATGGTTAGTAAGGGGAATCATCCCCAAATGGCCTTATTTCAGGTTAGTGAATTAGTATAATTTACCCAGATGTATGGTAATGTGGGTAAAACAATGTCATAAACCACCCATGACTGGGAATGGTAAGTTTATACAACCCATTTATGGTGATTTTGGTGATGCTTTATTATTGTACCCACATTAGATGATATTTCTTGCCAGCCTTTTCTTGGGGGCATTTTTAGGGCCAAATGACGATAGATGTTAGTAAATATTCCAAGAAAAAATCCATACGTTTTGGCATCTGGATGAATGGATGATAATTTGATCACGATGGGATTCGGGGAATCATCCAATGGCCGCATGATATATACCTCTGGTAATGACTAACATAGCTGTTGAAAATGGCCCATTTATAATTTATAGTTGATTTTCCCATGAAAAATGGTGATTTTCCATAGTTATGTTAGTTTACCAGAGGGTAACAGCTGTTTTCAAGTTGGTGAATTACTACAAGTCAGCCAGATAGTTATGTAAGAAATTCGACGGTAGAATATATTTGAAAGAAATCTGGTTGGTGGTTTCAATGATTTGTGTACGTTCATCCCAACAAATGGAATGAAATGATGTTCCCGATTGACTGCGATTGACAATCATGAATCTTTTAGGGTGTAGAAACCTCAAACCAGAGATTGCATGCCGGGAATAGCAGTGGTCCCTAGAAAGTGCCGTCTCCATTTTGGGTGTTCCACGATGTTCCACGGCACTTCGGTGGTTGAATGTTGGTCAATCCTGGTTAATCCAAGCATGTTTGGTACAATGTGGTACCCCCCAGTTATAAGTTAGTTTATAACCCCCATCAACTAGTTCGATATATCTACCATAAGTCCCACTTATTCTAGTTATTTGCACCAACTGAACGCTATCGAACGGGGGCACCATGTTTGGTATGGAAAAATCATGAAAAATCGGAGGGTTCTCTTCGCACCTCAGGCTGCCAGCTGAGATGAAGCGACCGCAGGATCGGAGAAGGACAGCCGAGGTGGAACATCCGTAGGGCTTCACCCAGGATTAATAAAGCATGTTCTATTGATTGGATGGGGATTTGATGGGGATTTATAGGGATTTATAGGGATTTATAGGGATTTGATGGGGATTTGATGGGGATTTATAGGGATTTATAGGGATTTATAGGGATTTATAGGGATTTATAGGGATTTGATGGGGATTTATAGGGATTTATAGGGATTTATAGGGATTTATAGGGGATATAATGGATAATACCCTCTGGTAAACGTTTACAGCTTGCGAACTTGAAGCCATGGCCCAGTCGAAAGTTCGTGGATTTAGCTAGCTATAAATGGTGGATCTTTCCAGTTCGTTATGTCAACGTTTGCCAGGCCGGGTACCCATTGAAATAGTGATTTATCATGATTTATCACTGTTTTGCAGGCAACTGAAGCCACTGATAGAAAATGGGTTTATTCCGGAGTGCGTATCACTGCCAAACGGCGATGTTTTCATGGGGAAACACTTAAGGAGAACCATGACATCGCTATGGGATGAGGCTATGGATCAGATAGGGATGCAAAAAAACGATAAAAAACGTGGAGTAGCCCAACATGGATGACTACATATTGACTACATATTGTAGTTGTTGTTTTCACGTAGAGGATCATATAGTCTGATTGGTGGTTTGGAACATGGCTTTTATTTTCCACAATATATGGGATAGTCCTTCCCATTGACTTTCATATTTTTCAAGATGGTTTTTTAACCACCAACCAGATATATTATTCATTAGATCAGGTATTAATCACTAATAACCACTATTAATCACTATTAACCATGGTTATTGCAACACTATTAATCATTAATAACAACATGAAACATGGCATGATGATCCTTCTCCAAACGAAGATGTTACGGCCGTGCCTCCACCGGCGAAAGACAGACCAGGAGCCGGGGACAAGGCTCCGTGGCTTCTGTTGAAGCTTGGAAGAAAGCGATGGAAACGCTGACGCATTTGCAAGGCCGGAGATGCCTGAAACATTCTGTTTCCACATGGATCACATGGGAAATCTCCCATGGAATGCCAGGTTGATTTTTCGTGAAATCATCTACTCAAATGTAGGATTTTCGATTGCCATGTTTGAGTCCTAGAGGTATGTTGATTTGATTTTATTTGATGTTATTTGTAAGTGCATGTCCGGAAAGAGTGGGCAACTGCAAAGTCTTCGAACAATCAGCTGAGCGCAGGGTATTTTTGTAACCGAGAAAACATATACAGGAAATGTCACAACTCCTACATTTGATGATGAACCCCATGGTTCCTATATACTATATGTTATTTCCCTGCAAGGCATTTTGCTTGCCGAAAGCTCCTTATTTCAGGTCAGCATGACCATTTTGGTGGTTTACATTACATTAAATCCCATGTTTTTGCTTGTCAAGTCCCCAATGTTTGCTGGTAAAACGTGGTAAAACGTCCTGTGGCTGAAATCCATTGAATTCCTTTGGTTTTTACAGTTATAGCCCTGAACAGTTACAGACTTACAACCTCATTTAAGTGACATATGACTATATAACTCACACAGGCCATCATATAACATATATCTGGGTAAATTTGATCACGACCTCACTGTTCTCCCGAACCCTGGAATCATGGTTATTTTTAGGGGAATCATCCCCAAATGGCCTTTAACATATAATTCAGGTTAGTGAAATATTATCATTTACCCAGATATATATATATATATCACTATATCAAATTATAAATCATGAATTCTGAATAGCATTTGGATATTATATTATATTATATTATATTGTATTATATTTTATTATATTATATTATATATATATCATATAACATCATATAACCTGTGTTGTTTCATTGTTTCATCCCATTGCGCCAGGCAACTGGCAGTTGGTTTATGGCCCGGAGAATGTCTCCCCTTGGTTGGAGCGTTTCATGATTTGCGGCACCACGGTCTCTTGTGAGGTTCCGCGGCGAGCGGCGATGGGAGCGTTGCACAAAAAACGTTGTTGAATGGGATTATTAGGGGAGTTTTCATGGGATTTGTCAACAGCAAATGATGTAAAATTTAAAACATATAGCTAAAGAGCTTCTGAAAATTTGTATGTATTTATGGTTTCTGTTTCTTTTGAGTCCGCAACAAATGGCCAGTTGCAAATGATCCGCACTAATGATCAGTGTTTCAGAGGCAGCCCTGAGGGATGTTGAGGCGGCCACTGGTGGCCACCACTGGGTGAAGTTCGTCGCTTTCTCGGATGGATTCGGCACGACTACCAGTGGTTAAATGCTTTGTTGGTTCGCAAAATGTCCATGACCAGTGCTGTAATTCTTCACCAGGAAGTAGATTATCAATGATCATCAATGATTATCTATTCACCCTTTTTTTCAATATACTATCAATGATATTTTCATAAATAACCATAATCGGCCAATATCATACCCAGAAAGATCCAGAATATATTTGAGGGTCAGCTTCAAAAAATGCAACGTCGACGTACAGCTGAACTTTGGCCATGAACATTGTTCCGAAAGGTAGCACGGGTCAATCGACTAACAACTACCCCGACTACCCCACCAAAAACTGGATGTGTGAACGTCTGAATGAGATTGAATCTCTTTAAGTATGCTCACTTATATAAATGGTTGATATGAATCATAATATATATATATACATATATATATACGATTTACGCTTGCCGAGAAAAAATCGCGAAAGCAATCATGAGCGAATTGTTTGTCTTGTGATGTTCACTGAGTATCTTCATCTCTTTTGACAGTGTCAACATGTTTCACATGGTTTTTGTTCAATGACGCTGTTTGGATTCTAGCATGTCAAGCATGGGCTAGATGACCAGGGGCCCTATTTCCGATGCAATTAACTTGACCATGGCACGCAAAAGATATTGGTAACATCTCATTTTATTTCTGGTTGTATCGAATCATATCATCATTTTGGCTGGCTATAATTCCCATTGTTTGCCAATTTTTGTGACTTCTATCCCTATAAATCGCATCCCGAAAAAGATAGAATTTGGATGAATTTGGTAAAATCCTCCTAAAACAGTGATCATTTGATATCATTTGAACCTGTTCTGCATCTCCGTTATTGTGGTTACCCTCTAAGAACGATAAAGCATCATAAATGTCATAAATCATATATATATAAGTGGGCCATGTTCATGCAGTTTCCATAGCAAACTGTTTAATCAATCCCATTAAATCACATTAAACCACCATGAAATCGAATTTAAACCACCATTCAACCACCAGAAAATCACCAGAAAATCACAATTCAACCACCAGAAAATCACCATTAAATCACCAGAAAATCACTATAAATCACCAGAAAAACCTTTTTTTTCACGTGTTTGACCACATCTCCCCAGTCTGTCGTCAGGATGTGGATCGGCCACTTGAGATGATTGAAGCCGCTCATCCGACGCTGGGAGGGGGCATCCTGCTGTTGGACAAGGCCGGGAAACTCTACAGGAACAACTCGAAGAGTTCGTGAAAAAACGGGCCGTGTTTTTGTGGGTGATATATCTGGTGATTTTTTTGGGTGATTTTCTGGTGATGATGATTTTCTGGTGATTTTCTCACAAGGATTTTCAAAGAACACGATCAAACAAATCTGGTGAAATGAGAAAATGTTGGACAATTTCTTGGATTTTCTGGTGATTTTCTGATCTGATATATCTGATGAACCATGCCATAACTGGTATTCACTGGTATTTCGGGCCATAACTGGGGGAAACTGGAGGAAAAGGGCTGAACATTGGCAAGTTCATGCAAATTCTCAGGGAACGTTTCGGTCATCGGACTGGGGTTCACAGGAGTGACCTTTTTCAGGATTTTTTCAAGACTTTATGCCGGAAAATCCGAGGAAAACATGGTCAGTCGCAAAAAATCAGGACGTCCATTTGATGTCCATTTTAAGTCGGTTTCCATAGTCATGGGGGGCGCCTTTTTTTTATCCATTTATAGCTACAATGTGGGGCCCCCAAGTTATGTTTGTTGGTTTAGATTCGCCCCAGTAACTAGTTCGTTATAAAATGTTATAAATAGATATAAATAGAATAAACCATTTTGTGAAGTTGGAGTTATAAACGCACCAACTGAATGCTATCCAACGGGGGCCTCACATTGAAGGCACCCCCCATGGATGATGCTAAGACTATCACATGCCGATCATGGGCCCGTTTGAAAGATTTGAAACAGCCCCAGAAATCATGGTTTTTGATTGGGAATGAAATCACTGTATTATATATAGTGATATATAGATGGATGGATAGATAGATTAGATTAGATTAGATAGATTAGATTCGATTAGATAGATAGATAGATAGGAGACATTATTAGGGTGTGTTGGCGTTGAACATTGGGAGGATGAGATGATTTTTGGTCTCAAGTCACAGTCGACCCTTGCCATGCTGTGGAAATTCCACCAGGTGGCTGCTGGAGCATCATTTCTGGCTGAAAAATTCATCTGAAATTCACAAGTCATTGGATTGGTTTAAGGAGAAAATCTACATGAAACCATGGTTTTCCTATGAAATATGAGGCTTTCCTGCAATTTTTCCCTTAAACCAATCCAATAAACAAGATGTGTGAAGATTCATCATCTCAATACCTATTGATACCTAGGAGTTTTTGTCTATATCTGGGCTCGGCTAAAGCCCATATATCACCATCCTCAATTACTCTCCGGTAATCCAATTTCCTGGGGGGAAAAAAAAACGACCTCACGTCGTTCTCCCGAAGCCTGGTTCATAATGTTTTTTTTTTTCGGAGAATCATCCCAAAAGCGTCGCAAGTTTCAGGTTATTGAATTATTGGAGATCAGCTTCTGGTTATTTAACATAGCGAACTGGAAAACTACCATTCTTAATAGGAAAATACAGGTAAATCATCCATAAATGGGCCATCTTCTACACGATGATGTTCCATGATGTTCCAATTTATAAATCTCCATGGCTTGCTGGAAGGATTGACGATTTACAGAGGACCCTCCCAGCGAACTCAACCTCGCGAACGGCAGGGATTTCCCAGCCATGTAGCTGATGACACCGGAGATTATTGACCAATATTCCTATAATGGATATCCCCATTATATCATGGAATGTTATATGTATGTTATAAATATAATCTCCAAATGGGATAATATAGGAATGACACATTGAATATCATGATATTCCTATAATATTCCATGATATCCCCATTATCCCACCATTTTTGTTGGTGAAGTCCCAAAAAAACAACAGGAAATCCCAGTAAATCACATTAAAACACCCAGCTTTTCCATGATTTCCAGAAGGTATTCCGACATATTTCCAGGGTCAAAAAAGAACTGTCATGCCTTCGCGGCTTTATCGATGGTAGGCTAAGTTGGCTTATAAGTGGTTTAACTATGGTTTATGGTAGATATGACTAGATTTTAATATAAACCAACTTATAACTGGGGGAGCCCCACATTGTAGGATGAGATGCTTCATCGCTTCGGCAAGTCTGGACAACACTTGATGCTTGGGCTCTTCCGAGTGTATGGCGCTTTTGCGCTTTTGTTAAAACCCATGGCTTTACAAAGGGAAATTCACCACCGGAGATGCTTATGGATGAAAACCCGGATGTGCCCGGATGGTACCCTAATTTTTTAGCTCGAGAATGGATCCTTATTCCACCAGTCATATGGTAATACTACAGTAGGTTTTGACCCATCCCCATATGGGTGTTTAAACAACAAGACTGGAAGTGAAAATCAATCCACAATTGGAATCTTTATATATATATATACAGTACATATATATATATATATATATATACAGTACATATATATATATACACGCTCTTGTCCGCAAACGGGAATACCCCAAATAAATGAACAAAATGATGCATAAAAAATTACAATGCAGGCTTTGATGCAGCCTATTTTTTAACAACCCCATGGGGCGGTAGCTCCTGACTTCAAACAATCGCAGTTGATTTTTTCATCCCTGATTTGGACTCTTGAAGATTGTGAGACAAACACAAGAAGAAACCATCACAGGATGGTGCCCCATAGTTAGCTAAGTTTCTTTTATAACTCCAAGTTCACTATGGTTTTTGTTGGTGATATATCTATAGTTTTCATGGGCCCAATAAACCATCCCAATTTGTGGCTTCTTGTTGTGTACCATACTTGGGATGATAGAAAAAAAGTCATAAACCATCCCAAAGTGGCCCAAAGCAGCTACTGTTCAGCTACCGGTGATGGATTAGGCTCTGTTTTTTTTTTAACCTAGCTATGGAAAATTAGAAAATCGCATGTTTTTGAATCGGTAAGTCATCATTTGAATCATCATTTGAATCATCTATACATGTGTTTTTCCATAGCAAAATATAAAAAAAATAATCAGATGGCCAGCCAGATTTTTTTGTGGTGGTCATCAGCGTTACGTGTTTCTGGACCAGGGAGTGCCTCGATGGTTGCGATCCATTGGCTCCACATAGATACAGCTTATATTAACGTTTCTTACTGTATATAAAGCACAGTACGAAAAAAAATACATGGTTTATTTTAATGTTGTGTGTTAAAGATATTACGTTGTATATGATACATATGGATGGATATACACAAGTTTATATATATATTGTATGTTATTTATGTATGGTTGATCACGCAGTGAGATTTATGGCATGAACCATGAATTGTCCCGGGGGGAGTTTTTCGGCTCACATCTGAAGTGCGGGCCCCAGGGCTCAACGACCCACATTGTGGTGGCTAGTCCTTTGGGGGAAATACCCCAAGTGATCAGCTGGCCCTGGGCATTGGAAGTTGGACCCAGGCCTCACTCGTTCCAGTCGCTGATCTCTGCTCCTGTGGTCGGAGTTTCAAGGCCGTCATGAAAGGTGACTCACCCTCTAGAATTCTGCGAGACGTCTCCAACTTTCGAAGTTGACAACATCCAAAACGAAGCAATTCCGCGCGGCTTCCTTCAAAAATAGAAAGTTGAATGCAAAGCTGACGGCCTCATACCAATGCGTTTTTCGATTTTGCCACTCCATGTGTCTCAAGTACTGCGCCTGCCACGAAAAAGTGATGCCAAGTCATACAAAGTGCTGCACCTGTCAAGCAAAATCATCCAAGCAAACCTCAAGATCTGATTCAGCAAAATGCAACCCATCTCAGGAAATCAGCGCCCGGACCGCCGAACATGTCTGACTCATGTGTCTCTTGCATTGCGCCTGCCACGCGAAACGCATCTTTGCAGAGCCTCCGAAAGTTCCCACGCCTGCCAACATTCTTGAAACTGTTACAAAACCCTCATGTATTGCTCACTTTTGGCAAGGTGCAGAATCCCTTGCGCCTGCCATAAACAACGATGCTTCAACATCACAATTCCTAAAAGCGCTTCAAAGCTGAGGTGTTTTGTACATTTTGACTTGGAAATGTGCTTCGCGCGACAACGGTGTGCAACTTTTCATCTCTCCTCTGGCTAGATGACTCCGCGCCCGCCGCTTTAGCGACCCTACTTTTCGACCCTTCGGAGCCACAAAACATCGGCAGTGTTTCGCGACTTTTCTACCTTTTCGCGCACCTGCACGAAAGTTTGACTTCTAAACTTCCTTCCGTTATTGTTTATGTTTAATGTATTTGTTTGTTTGTTTGTTTATTTACTTATTTACTCGTTCATTTATTGTATACATAGTATGTCTATATACAATATCATGTACCCAATTATATTTATGTATGTTTGATACCTTTTTTTAAGTGTATATATATATGTGTGTGTATGTATTTATGACATGTACATGTAAATACATTTAGATTTACAGGTTTAATATTTATTTATATATTGCAAGATGTGTATATATATAAATATGTATGCATATACTCAATATATGCATATATAGGTTCAGTATATGTTCAACTACTGCACATATCTATATCAGTTATCAAAGGACGCAAGCACACAATGTCTATCTTTCTTACTATAATCGAACCTATTTGGTGTTCTGATTTCGCATGGTCTTGTTCTTGCCAGGTTTGTTTATAGGGGGGTACTCATTTGGTGCTGTCCCCGCTTTGATTCTGATCATGGAAACGGGTGATTTGGTTCAGATACTTTTGAAGAGCACAGAGATGGAATTTGAATCATGACTTGTGGGTTCCTGAACTCTCACAAACTCATTGTGGTTGATGATGGCTCATTGCATCCGCAGTTGTGGTCGCTAAACGATTTTTTGTGTGCGTTTTTCGGCATACAAATCCGACCTTGCCAAGATCGTGCCTTTTTCCATAAATTTGCCGGGAATCACCCCAAAAATGGCTGGGTAAACCTGGGTTGCACAGCTTATTATTGGATTTTTTGTCAAACAGCGGTTACATTATATATATATACACATAATCATATATATATATAGATATAGATATAGATATAGATACTGACCAACTATTTTCTCAGCGGGGTGTCAGAGATTGGCCCAGGGAAAAGGAGGTGAAAACTGAAAGTTCGTCCTAGGTTTCAGAGGCACGACACCACCAACCTCACATCTTTGGTGCAACGGAACCTTGGAAAATAGAAAATCCTTGAGTAGTTGGGATATTTTCTGGCATTTTTATTTGGACTTCGCAAGCACGAAAACCATGGAAAATCACCATCCCTATAAGTTTGATATTTCATCGAACTAAATAAGTTACTTTCCATAGTTGTATTAAATTACCAGAGGGTCTATGATGATTGCAGTATTTTTCTGGAAAATGAGTGTAGACATGTGATATCGAAAATAGATGATGCTAGTTTGAGTAGTTTGAAACACTTCCGTTTCTCAATGGTTCAATGTGTTTTTTGGTAACTGGATGGTTGATGATCACAACAAAAAAATTGTTCATTGGTTGCTGCCAACCATTTCTACCGTAGATTGGCAACATGTGATTTAGAGAATCTGTTCAATCTGGTTGCTTCACATAACGCCAAAAACTAGAGATAGGGTCATGCTGGGCATCCACAGAGTTGGAGGATGAACAAAATCATTTTGTAGGTAGGTTCTACCATTTTGGTCTTCGGAAAATCATGTGTGAATTGGGAATGATCCTTTGCTGGCTCTGCTCAGAGTACCTGAGTTGCCAAAGTCGTAGAAGAAACTTGTAGTTGCTAGCCCCGGATCTGTTGGTTGTCTTGGGAGGTCGACATTACTCATTACCATTCCAATTTCTCGGTCGTACTTGCACTGAGAAAAGTTCAATCCAAATGAGTGGTTTGCGTTGCACCATTCTGGCTGGAACTATGTGTCTGAAAACCTGGGGCGTACCCAAAAAGCACGTGTCCTGAAACCAATGTGGGCGGCTTCCGGACACGTTCAGCCAAACCCAGGAAATTCTTGCTAAGAAAAGTGTGAGTTAGTCAACTGATTAGTGAGTTGTACTGAGCGATATCACCCACCATCTGGTTATGACTAACATAGCCATGGAAAGATCCACTATGCTATTGATAGGTAAACCATCTATTTCTATGGGCCGTGGCTTCCATGGCTATGTTAGTCATAACCAGAGGGCAATTGCTCAAAAATGTCAGCAAAATCTGTCTGCCGAATACTGGCTGATTGGTGGGTGAACTGACGAATACGAAAATTCAATGTTGGAACTCCACAAGAAAAGCTTGCGGTAGATGTGTTTTGTTGTTTTTGTTGCTGAGATGATTTTTTGTTGTTTGTGGTTGTTAGATTGTTTTGGGTAGATGTGTTTGAGTTTGCTTTTGTTTTTTGAAATTCTAAAGATGATGAAAATCGCGATATCAGGATAAGATATAATTGATATAATCATATATAAAGTAAAAGGCACGCCATCCTATGAATATATATATATATATATTAGATATATATATATATTATTTATATATCATATATATATGGTACCCCCCCCCAAGACCTACCAATTTCACAAAAGTACTGGTATTTACAGTAAAATTTGCTGTTTTTGGTATGTAATTTTGGATTCCGGGATTTGGGGGATGTTATATAGTGTATATATACATATATATATATATATACATAGAGGATTCAAGCCTTGAATCCAACCCTTGTGGGAATCTTGGATCTTGGATCTTGAATCTTGCAAAGAATGCATTCAGAATGCATTCTTTCGGCAGGATTCAAGATTCAAGATTCAAGATTTCTGAGGACTCTTTGGAGCAAATCTTGAATCCACCCCCTGGATTCAAGATTCAAGATTCAAGATTTCTGGTGACTCTTTGGGGCAAATCTTGAATCCGGATTCAAGATTCAAGATTCAAGATTTCTGGGGACTCTTTGGGGCAAATCTTGAATCCGGATTCAAGATTCAAGATTCAAGATTTCTGGGGACTCTTTTGCAAATCTTGAATCCAGGATTCAAGATTCAAGATTCAAGATTTCTGGGGACTCTTTGGGGCAAATCTTGAATCCGGATTCAAGATTCAAGATTCAAGATTCCTGAGGACTCTTTCCAGCAAACCTTGAATCCAGGATTCAAGATTCAAGATTCCTGAGGACTCTTTCCAGCAAATCTTGAATCCAGGATTCAAGATTCAAGATTCAAGATTTCTGGGGACTCTTTGGGGCAAATCTTGAATCTTGAATCTTGAATCCTGGATTCAAGATTTGCTGGAAAGAGTCCTCAGGAATCTTGAATCTTGAATCCTGGATTCAAGATTTGCCCCAAAGAGTCCCCAGAAATCTTGAATCTTGAATCCTGGATTCAAGATTTGCTGGAAAGAGTCCTCAGGAATCTTGAATCTTGAATCTTGAATCCAGGGGGTGGATTCAAGATTTGCTCCCAAGAGTCCCTAGAAATCTTGAATCTTGAATCTTGAATCCTGCCGAAAGAATGCATTCTGAATGCATTCTTTGCAAGATTCAAAATCCAAGATCCAAGTTTCCCACAAGACTTTTGATCAAAATCTTGGATTTCTAAAGAAGTTTCATAGGGACTAGTAAGAGTATTCTGGCAAATTCCAAACCCAAGATTTGCACAAGACTTCTCCGCAATTCTTAGATCTTGGATACCCACCCAGGTGCTCTCAGTGTTCATGCACCTACGTGGTCAGTTTCTTCACATGTGCTATGCTACAGCTACATATGTGGGCAAGATGTGTCCAGGTGCATGCGTACAAGCTACTTTCCTGATGCAGTGTTACAATAGGTGAGAAGATAAGGAGAAAGACAAGGCAGTCAAGGACATATCTGGTACACAAAATGTCTCGTGTCTTGTTTGTCCTTTCCCACCCACCCAGGTGCTCTCAGTGTTCATGCACCTACGTGGTCAGTTTCTTCACATGTGCTATGCTACAGCTACATATGTGGGCGAGATGTGTCCAGGTGCATGCGCATAAGCTACTTTCCTGATGCAGTGTTGCGATAGGTGAGAAGATGAGAAGAAAGACAAGGCAGCCAAGGACATATCTGGTACACAAAATGTCTAGTGTATTGCTTGTCCTTTCCCACCCACCCAGGTGCTCTCAGTGTTCATGCACCTACGTGGTCAGTTTCTTCACATGTGCTATGCTACAGCTACATATGTGGGCGAGATGTGTCCAGGTGCATGCGCACAAGCTACTTTCCTGATGCAGTGTTGCAATAGGTGAGAAGATGAGAAGAAAGACAAGGCAGCCAAGGACATACCTAATACAAAAAATGTAGGTCTTGGGGGGGGTAGCATATATATATATCATATATCTATATATGTATCATATATATATATATCATATATATATATATATATAGATATGTCATATATATATATATATGTCATATATATATATCATTTATATATATACATGTGTGCAGGTGTAGATGCCTGATTCAATGCCATCAAATTGAAACATTCTGAGGATGAACGAGGACTCGGATCCTCAGTGGTTTGCCCCACGTCTGGGCCCTCAGAGTGGCGTTTTCTTTTCGAGTGGCCATGGTGCTTCGATGTTCAGTGAAACATGATCTAAGCAGCATAATGGATATATATATATATATTTATATTTGTATACATATACATACATATATATATACACATATATGGAGATTAGATTTCATTCGTTTCTGGGGTGATTATGGGATACAACAAGAAACAACCAGACACAAATACAATCAACATATGATCTGTGTAGGTGGGTTGGTCTCAGACTGGGGGATGAGCCTCAGCCTGACTGATGAGAGTCATGCTATGGAAAATCACCGTGTTTAGGTAGATCATTGAACTATAAATGCGCCATCACCAGAGTATGACCAAAAAAAAATGCATCAAGAAAGATTTGGGACCTGTCCCAAATGGCAAAGTCAGGATTATATATTCAAAGTCAGACTGCATTTGTGTAGATCAACAACAGACAGCCGACCGAAAATTCGTATCAATCGCCCAGGGGCCGTTTCTGGAGAGATCAGCTCTATGCAGGATTCCGAAACCAACGGTGGGAGAACGGTACTTTAATGAGGTAAATGGGTGGTGGTACCCTCTGGTAAACGTTTACTTAACGGAAAATCACCATGTTCAATGGGTAAATCCACTATTTCTATGGCCATGTTTAATAGCTATGTTAAATTACCAGAGGGTATAATGGTGATTTCATGTGGTACACCCATTGAACATTCCCCCAATATCACTATAAATCTGATGGCAAGCCAATGCCGTAAACAATTGCCATGACTGGGGAGGGGTTTATATCATTTTATATCTATATCACCCATAAACATGGTGATTTTGGAGATGGTTTCGGAACTTGGGTATGTCCCACATTACTTTGATATTTAAACCGTAGTTTTTTTTCAGGGAGGGATCATAGGATCGGTGTGTTTTTTAAGGGGGATGGGATCATTGTTTGCCAATTCGATGGGGATATATATATACACTAACCAAAACAATATGTTGATGGTAAACAAATAGTGAATTGATCTATATATAGCTTGGTTAGTTCAACTAGTTCCTCATTTTGAGTTCAAAGCTTGGTCTTTGAGGAACTCAAAATCAATTGTGAAACCAATGGGGACAGGGTTGTTCCCATCGCTTTGCCATCGGCCAGAATTGCAACAAAAAGAAACTGGTAGCCCTTGGAAGGAATAAGTACATAGAAATGCTGATATCACCCATATGCCAACACTGTTGTGGTATAACACAAAATACGCACCTTGGTCCCAGGGACCATAAACTTTTGGAGAGGATCCACAGAATGTGTGTTCAAAAGCACCACGTGGCTCCTTGTTGTACATGCGCTATCACGAAGGTGCCCCCCATGGCCTGACCCATGCCGCTTCCGCTGACTAGTCGCAGGACCTGATGGATGCGCTGGAGGATGCAGAGAAAAGAGATGCTAATGTTCCACATGCTGGAGCAACACCAGCAACATCCAGCCAATTCCATTGACATGACATTGAGTGACAAGAGTCGTTTCGAAGTGCATGCTGGAGATGAAAAAATCCCAGCTGCGCAACGCAATGAATATTTCTGCAGAACGATCGAGGCCTCGTAGCAGTGCCGATCTTTTTTGCCCCCAGAGACCTGATAGAATCCCTATGTATACCCTTTGGTAATCAAACGCGGCAACGGAAAATCCCTGTAAATCGAAGTTTTGATGGAAAAAACATCTGTAAATAACAATAATCACATAATAATCATCATAATAATGATATAATTGATGATAATAATAATAATAGTAATAATAATAATAACAATAGTTAATAGGATATGTTTCATTGCCATGTTTGATTAGTAAAGCTTACCGGTCAAAATTCTGAGATCCGGACACGCCGGACACCTCAAAAAATCGACACCGATCTGACCGCTTTTTCCATGGACGCGAGCTGGATTCGATAAGCTAACGTCATGATCTGGTTGGTGGTTTGGAACATGTTCTATTTTTCCATTCAGTTGGGAATGTCATTTCATCCCAGCTGACTTTCACTCCATGATTTTTCAGAGGGGTAGGTCAACCACCAACGTCATCATGTTTTTTTGCCAACTAAGTAGAGCCCAGCGGTCACAGCCCCATGTTTTACTATTTAAAGTTTGCCGGCCTTCTACGTGGCTGTAGAATGCTGTTCTGACAGTATCTACAACAACTTTCAATTGGGGCCTCAACATTTGCCCCAATGATTTTGAACCAGGCCCATTTGTTTTGTTTGGTCTAAAGATGTTCCTTTCATTGGCCAATGGGTGAGAAATGCGGATTTATTTGCTTATTTGGAGCCATACCTCCTACCCAAACAGATTGATGATTTACCAACGAAAATGAGGTTGTTCTACCTAGATCATTGACGAGGCTGGCATATTTTACCTACGTAGATATGCCCAAATGAAACCAGTGTTGTATGTACTTTTTCCAATCTCATACGATATGATGTTTTCAAAAAAAGAAAACACTGCCAGCACCGCCGAAGCTTTGCCAGCATCATTGCCAGGCCTTCATATTCTTTCAGGTCAGATCCGCTCAATTGCGTGACGACAAAAAGTCCCCTTTTGCACCCGAAAACACTGAACCTGTGACTTCTCCGTTGGTTGTGGTGTTTTTCGACATCAAAGAACATGTGCATCTCAGGAATAATAGCACAGAATTTGTCTTTTTAGCATTTTAGCATGCTTAGTCTAGTTAGGCCAGTAAATGACACTCACTTCATTTTGTCGCTTTGTCATATTTTGTCATGTCACTCCTCATGTTTGTGTCCTGTGTTTCCTGAGATGCACTGGACAGCAACGGTTCGTGGGACGTGCTCTTTTGACCGTCAAGAATTGCTTGTGTCCAAAGTGATTCTCCCAGGCATTTCACCAAGTTGTGGGGATGGGAAAATTCACACATTTCCATGGTCAAAACATGGTTTCTATTTCCAGAAACGGTCATCGATCCATGTTCATAGGCATGAGATAGGGCTTTATATACGCAGATATACACATTATGTGTGGATTTCCAATATGGAATAGATGACCATACCCCATATGAGCTTCGACCATAGCACGATACATCAATGGGAATTTCAGGATCTAATACATGGAGGTACGTTAGTACCATATTGTTGGCCATATTTTGTGGCGATATTCCCTTACATAGGCCTTATATAGGCCTTATATATGGTAGGTACCTCCATTTTAGGATCCTGAAATTCCCATTGAATACACATCTCTTCACCGATTCTTATGGAGATGGGTCATCTCAAGGCCACCGAAGGACTCTCCGTTCGGGGCAAAATATGAGCGACCCTTGGTGAAGCAGCTAGCTAAAACGGCGAAAGTCTCTCCAGGGGCCAATAGCAAACTGCTTTCTGATCCGGTCCTTGTGGTGACTAGAATCGTCGTATATTGAGCACGATGCATGTTTTCTTGGCGAAGCACCAGGATATCTACATGTTTTGATGACCTTAGGGCTGACGTGAGGGGACAATTTAGGCCATGTTTAGTATGTAACCACAAGTATGGTAACCGCTGGAAAAATACAAATTTTGTAAAAGCCTCCTAAAATTAGCTTCAGTGGTATCCCCAACAGCCGCAACGATTAGTGGAAACAATTCTTTCTGATGCGTGCTGCTACACCAAAGCCTCCCAGACCTTCTCCGGAACCTTCTCCAGAACCCTGTTGAACCTGACCTGGCTCTCCACCAAACCCTCCCCGACCTTCTCCGGAACCTTCTCCGGAACCTTCTCCGGACTTGGCTTTGCACCAAGGCTTCCTGGAACCTTCTCCGGAACCGTCTCCAGAACCCTGTTGACCCCTGTTGAACTTGACCTGGCTCTGCACCAAAAGCTTCCCAGACCTTCTCCGGAACCTTCTCCGGAACCTTCTCCGGAACCCAGTTGAACCTGACCTGGCTCTGCACCAAAGATTCCCACACCTTCACCGCAACCTTCTCTAAAACCCTGTTGAACCTGACCTGGCTCTGCACCAAAGCCTCCCCAGACCTTCTCCAGAACCTTCTCCAGAACCCTGGTGAACCTGACCTGGCTCTGCACCAAAGCCTCCCAGACCTTCTCCGGAACCTTCTCCGGAACCATGTTGAACCTGACCTGGCTCTGCACCAAAGCCTCCCAGACCTTCACCAGAACCTTCGCAACCTTCTCCGAAACCTCGTTGAACCTGAACCGGCGCCTGCACCAATGCACACAGGAGCTATTCTGGGCTGAAGACCCCATTAGCTTGCGCTGTTGGGGAATAATCATGAATTGAACTTTGTTTGCATTTTTTGTATATGTGAAACCATCCGAAATTGCGTGCCCCCAATTTGACCATGGATGTCATACACCTGAGATGACATCAAAAAATGAGCTTCAAACCCCAAGAAGCTTCAGCTTGTTTCAGCTAATCTTGGGCCGCTACATGCCAACATGCCTTTACAAAATGTGTATGGCAGCTGGTGATGGTAACCCCCAAAAAATGAGATTGATCACTTTCTTGGTATATTTGAGTAGAACATATGTTGCTTTTCTATCATTGTTGGTGCTAATTTTATTTATATATATATATATGTACAGTTCCTCGCCCACAAGATGTTCATGAACATGAAGGTTTTTTTCGTAAACGATCCATTCCCCAAGCAGTGCCATTCCCTTGTGAGATGTGATAGCCATCCACGGATGCCAACAGCAAGGCTGCGGATGGTCGTCAGTTGCTGCGGAGCATGACTTGTCGAAGAAAATGATAGCATTTTTAGAACGGCACGGCCGAAGCGATTGCTGATTGCTACTGATTGCTGAATTTGGAAGTACCATAGAGTCACCAGATAGTGCCGGCCAGTGCCCAGCGGGGCAGAAATCAATAACCTATATAGAGGAGTGCTTTTTTGGGATGGATCAGGAAAGCTGTGTGTGTGTGTGTCAACGAATGAGCAAATGTTGGGATGCCATTGAAATGACACGTGACATGACCACTGGTCACTGGACAGAGCGACGCACCCAACGAAGCAATCGATGAGTCGGTGACTCAATGGCTCGGAGCGAATCAACGATTTTTTTTTGGAGTCAGTGAAGGGAAGAGTCGGTCAATGAATCAATGATGAAGTGAATGAGTCAAAGATTCAATCAATGAACCACATTTTTTTAGCGAATCAACGACTGAGTGACTTAATGAATCAGTGAGTGACTGAATGATTGAAATGACATGAAATAAAATGAAATGAAATGAATGGGATAAAATGGATTCAAATCAAATCGAATGGAATCCAATGGAATGGAACCTAATGAATGGAATGGAATGGAATGGAATGGAATGGAATGGAATGGAATGGAATGGAATTAATGAGTGAAACAATAGGAGAGGATAGGAAATGACATGAAATGAAATGACATGAGATGAATAAATGGTATGAGATAAAATGGCATGAAAGGAAACGAAATGAAATGAAATGAAATGAAAGATAGAAATTTATGAATGAATGATTTGAATCGAAATGAAACGAACCAAAACAAAAGGAAATGATTTTTTAATGAAATGCAACAGAACGGCATTGAATGAATGAACCAATCAATAATTTAGTGAACCAATGAACGAATCAATGAATGAGCTACTTCTTCGTTGAGCTACCCATTCCCCAACCCAAGTCTTCTCTAACCACCTGTTCACGGAGCCACTTCTTCTCATGCACGCAGAGTTGAGAATGCGAAGAATTCCGCGGTCTGAAACCCTCAGTTTTTTGCCTTTTTGTTGTGAGAAAAATCGATCTCTCGCTACAGTCTCCTGCCCATTTTCATCCATTTTCCCGACCTTGTCTTCCAAAGGTCCTCACAGTTTTCCAACATTTTGCGACCACGGTAGCCACTATATTTGTAAAGACATAGAGATTAGCGCGCTTCGATTGTGTCTTGTGTCCTCAAACATGGCTACCTGGGAAATCGTTGTCAAAATGCTAGACACTGAAATGGGGCATGTTCAAAGTAAATGGGACATGTTCAAAGTAAATGAATATGTTCCAGCCATGTAACTGAACACCCAGAGGGTATCGAGATTTAATGTGGTAATGTCTGGTAGAGAACTGGTTTGATTTGTGAAAGAATCTTTAATGATTTGGGTCGGTTATTGGTTAATTGATACTTTCCCCTCAGGGAAAAATTTGCAACACTGAAAAATCTTGGCGGATGATCGGGCCATTTTGCATTGGTACCCTGGGCACACACCCAGAATTTGCGCAGAATACACAAAGTCATGGCATACGCATCTTCCCATTTCTGGGGGTCCCTCACTCCACTGGAATTTCCATGGCCATTGAAATGCCCAGGTGTTTTAGCCATGTAGTTGATGACGGGTAATTCTCATCCGCTCTGAAATGACTAAACTCTGCAGCAACGGCCATGTGGCGGAACTTCAGCTGTGCTGAGTTGGCTAGTCTGATCTAGTTTTCTGGTCGACAGCGTGTTCTCTGCAGGAGCTTGTGCAACGGCATGTAGAAAAGTTGCTGGATCACACAAGTGAGCAGCTGGGAATAGATGACCAGGAAAAAAAATGACACCAAAATGACATGTTTGAAAGAATCCTAAGAAATCCTAAGAACATGTTCAACATCCAATGACAGGAATGGTAGGTACTGCGGTTTCCAAGCTCCGGAGAAGCTAACGTCCACGGGTTCTTGTGCCACAGAACGCCATCCTGCAATCGCCGGTGTTTTTTTTCGGACGCCGGACGCGCCGGACGCCGGACGCGCCGGACGCCGGCCATCGTTCGCGGGCTCCCAAAAATGCTGTCGCCGCATGTCACCCTGAAAGTCCACTAGGGGTCAAAAGTCACCTCAAAAACCACAGATGGACAGAAAAAATGAACGGGTCATTGTTAGTATTCCCCCCAGTTTGAGAAGATTTTTTCGGGCTCCAGGAGCCATGAATTTTCTTTGGCTGTTTTTCTAGTGTTTTTGTGGGTGTTTGTTAAAGCCTGGTTGTTGGGTACCGTTGGGTACGGTTGGGTGTGCTCTGTTTCATGGCATCAAACATGCACCCATTTGTTTGAACCCCTCAAGCATCAATAAAGATCGCATGATGGAAGCAACAGGCATGAGGGATAATGCCAACAAAGAATCGCATACATTCGGATACGATCTTCAATAGTGGGATATACTGTGTATATATATATATATGGATATATAACATTATATAACCACCAATACAGGGATGGGTCAAAACCTATTGTTACCATATTTGTGAGTAACCATCCATTTTCACCAGCTATGACTCAGGGCCTCAGGGTAGAGTTTGGATGCGGTGACGAAAATAGCCATAGGATTTCATAAAATGTGTGATTTTGTTAGTCAGAAGTTGCCATACATCCAGTGAAGAAACATGGAAATTGCAAATCACTAGGTCAATCTTAGATGGATGCAAACTAATCCTGACTAGTCTTTCGTATCAATGGGAATATCTACGTTCACCAGCAAAGAATTTGTCATTTTTTGCAGGGTATCTGAGATTGGCAATGGTTTGAAGAGATATGAATTGATTCGATGCCATGATGTTAGATGCCTGGAGGGAACTCCCATATCCATATGCCTTTCTCAACGGTCGATGACATTGCCACTGATGGAGGTTCGAGAACCGAAAATATTTCTGTTGAAATATGGGCATGTGCCCATGGTCCAACCCCATGATCTCCCATCTCAAATCATTGATATCTGTGATTTATATCACCATAATATATACCACCTGGTTATTTAACATAGGCATGGAAAATCACCATTTTTAATAGGTAAACCATCTATAAATGATTCATTTTCCATGTCCTTATGATGTATCAGTAGACATGTCAGTAAGAGCTTTTGAAGGTAGCAGCCGGTCTCTGACCTGCAGTTTTCAGATCAAGGTCCGGAGGGTAGATTCCAACCTGCAGTGATGGCTGTGAGGTTGGATTTACTCGAAGGACCTAAACTGAAGCAAGAGGACTTTGAGGAGTACTATGGGCGGGTGACTGACCATCTCTACTTCGAATGTGTCGATGATAGGGGAAATGGTCAGGGCTACGCTGTGGCTGAGGTGGTGAAGAAGTTCAGAGCCGACAAGGACGGGGCCTTTCTGCAGGTGAGATATCTGCAGACCAGTGACCCTTACTACGCCCACTGGTTGGCTTCGTCGGGAGGAGGCAACTTCTTCCATCACCTGTGCACCCACTCACTGAGGACATGCACCAATAAGGTAGGCAGGGACAACCTGGTGCACGTGCTGCGGTGGATGCCAGTGTCCAGCGAGCTTGTCCCGTCCATAGTTAAAGGATGGAAGACAAAACCGCTCCCTCATGGGGCGCCTGTTCCTCCCAAGGGGGTGCCCTTGGTTGAGGAGCCGTTGAAGACGGCACCCAAGAGGAAGCCTGAGAGCGGACGACATGAAGAAGGGCGAACTAGAGGACGCTCCCCCGGTGATGGCCGGGGCTCCAGGCGGATCTCTGGGGATGAGCATGAAGTCTCTGAAGATGGTGATGTGGGACGCTCCAACGCCCGACGCAGGAGGCGACATCGGTCAGACAGGACTCCTGAAGATGACTCTCGCGATGAGAGGGGTCAGCCTGAAAAGGCCCGGGGGACTGTGGGAGCAGTCACCAGGGGCAAAGAGGCCCTCCGTCGACATCGGACCACTCCGCTGGATGCCATGCTGGATGATGACGTCCTGGATCCCATGCAGAGCAAAACTGATGAGCGCTTTGATGAGCTGCGAAAAGCCCTGGAGGAGAAGAAGCGCACCCGTGCTGATGCCAGTGCTGTGCTGGCAAAGCGGGTCCTTGAGACCCCTGAAGGGGGGCAGAAGAAGCGAAAGAAGGAGTCGGAAAAGGACAAGGTTCACAAGGCGCTGAAGATCCTTTCGGGGAAGAAGAAGGAGGAGTCATCGGGATCAGAGAGCCCCAGTGAGGACGATGATGAGTCCTATCTACGTGGTGAAAGCAAAGACAGTGACTTGCTGGGCAGACAGAAAAAGTTGCGGCGTATGTCATCTGCAAAGCCGGGCTGTCTCCTGGCACGAGGCTATGGCCTTATGCACGAGCAGTTGGGAACGCTTCACGGAGACAAAGGAGGCAATCCTGACAAGGAGGCCCTGCTACAACCTGCTGCTGTACGGTATCTGCTGTCCAGTGCGCTGCCCCTGACTGATCTGAAGAAGGTCGGCGAAGAGAAGTTGCGAGAGTTGCGCACTCTTGCATGCTCGTTGGACCTGTTGGTCAGTGGCCGTGTGGGTGCTGCAGGAGACCACATGATGCAGCGCATGAAAAGCATTCTGATGGGAATGCGTGATGGATCTACGGCGGCAAGTCGCTACCTGGAGCTCATCCCCACGGAGGTGTATCCCATGGCGGCCACTATGGAAGAGACGGACTATGCCCGAGAGTTGGCAGTGAAGCATGCCAAGAGTGAGCGTCTCTTGGAGCAGGTGAGCAGGAGGGGCTAGGGACTCGGCGGGAGGGATGTGGGTCCTCTAACCACACCCTCTCAGCGCCACCCCCAACCTGCAATCACAGAGGAAGCAGAAAAGCAAAAGCCTGCCAGGAAGACAGCTCTGAGGTCGCCGGGGAAAGAAAGCCCGAACAGGAGTCGCAGCCCTCTTCCGAGGAAGGTGCAAGTGCAGTTCGATCCGAAGGAGAAGGAGATCCCTGCGGAGTTAGGGGATTCGAACCCCAATTTGATGAGGATGAAAGATGCCAGAGAAGCGGTGCCCCGGAAAGAAGGAGAGTCCAGGAACGATTGGAAGAATCGCATCTTTCAGCACAAGAGGAAGTTCGAGGAGAAGATGGCCCAGTCCTCGAAGGGAAAGACGAAGGAAGCGAGGAAGTAAAAGCCCCCGTGGTAGCGGGGAACCGTGCGCAGGTGGAAGCCTGTGAGATGACCATGCAGTCTGTGATGGCAGGCTGTGAGGTCCAGCCCCCTGTGGTGGCAGGGAAGGCCGCGGCCTGCGTAGCTGGCATGGAAGTGCCCAGTGTAAAGCGTGGGGCCAATTTGAATGACCCTTCCAATGAGGAGGGTAGTGCAGGGAAACCTGCAATGTCGTTTTGGTGTAATGCAGAAGTTTTGGAATTTGAGTTCAAGTGTGACTTTTTGAAAATGTTTCAGAAAAACTTTTTCAGGTGGCTTTTTGTGAACTGTGCACCGAAGTGACCCTTTTGCGTCCCTCAGTTCTCCAGCTTGGAATTTCTGTGATGCAGCTCCTACTTTGCAGCCCACGTGATGGGAAGTCGATGTGCCAATGGTTTGAACAACAGTTTTCACTTTCCTCCACAACACCTATTCGAGTCAGGGATGTGTTGCCTCTTCCCTTGACTCCTGTGGGAGCTGCCATGAAACTTGTGGCCCGAATGGAGGCTACTCAATCCGGCCTGCTAGTGGCGTCGAACTTGTCCACTGGGCCCAGCAAAAAGAAGGGGCGTCAACAACTCGGGCGGTTGGTCCGGGAGGGGTCACGACAGTTGTGGCGTTTGCTGGTGATAGTGGTATTGAATGGTATGAATGATGATTGGGTTTATAGATCTTGGAAGTCAGAAAAACACACCCCCACTCAAGCAGCTGCCATTGATGTCATCAACAGATGGATTGACGGTTTTTGTCAGGAGCCCTTGAAAGAGGTCACACTTCCCGTTTTTTCAGAACTTGTTCAATCACGTTCCATTGATTATTCAGGGGATGAGGTGGGTCATGCGCTTCCCTTGAGGCTGGAAGAACTACTTCCTGGACTGCCAATTCGAGGGGTGGCTGGCTCCTTGAGTGCAGCGGCGGCTGCAACTGGCGGCATTAAGGATTGGGTGTGTGATCCTTCTCTGACTCTAAAACCCCCTGAACAGTGGCCAAAAGTTGTTCCCAAAGCCCGCATAAATGCCAGTAAAACTGAATGGTACCGGGTCTGCAGAGTCCTATTTGACAGGGGGCTTATAGAAGCCATACCCCTTGAAAATGTCTTTCACGCTGGGGGGGTCCCAGTGCTCAATGGTGCGTTCTCTGTGGAGAAAAAAGGTAAAGCAGAGGGAAGTGAAAAACGTGTTACCAGACTAATCATGAACTTTGTTCCCACAAATGCCTTCCAGAACTTGATGGCTGGTGACCTCAACACGTTATCTAGTTCTTCTGCTTGGTGCCAACTGATTCTAAGGGATGGTGAGACTCTTCTATGGAGTGGAGATGATCAACGAGGTGCCTTCTATGCCTGGGAGCTGCCAGACAGCTGGCGACCATTTATGGCGTTTGCGTGGCCGGTGCCTGGCGAAGTGGTGGGGTCCACTCAGCCCTGGGAGTACGTCGCGTCACGAGTGATTCCTATGGGGTGGATCCAGGCGGTCAGCCTCTTTCAGCACTTGCACCGTCAGATTGGGATGGCGAGACAACCTGAGGGAGCAGGACATGCAGCCGAGCTGGAATGGCGGCGAGACTTGCCAGCCCCCCAGTCCTCAGATGGAACCCTTACAGAGTTTGTGCAGTTCTATTTGGATGACTTTGACTGTCCAGAGCTGGTTCCCAGTGAAGGCTGGGAAGAAAAGCGAGGCTCTATGAGTGAGACCCACGCCAGGCAGCGGCAGGCCTATGGAAGGTGGGGGGTTGGCATAGCGGAGAACAAAGCACACTTGAGGGAGCCCAAGGTGATTCGGATGGGAGCAGAGGTAGACGGCCTGAGAGGAACGGTCTCCGCTCCACTAGACAAGAAGCTGGAAGTGGCCTTCTTTGCCATCTGGATGATGGGGCGTGGAACCACGGCTACCAAGGTGCGACTGATGGTCTTGGGGAGGTTGGTGAGGTGTTTCGAGTTCCGAAGACCTCTGATGTGCCTGTTGTCTGCAGTGTGGCCGAGAGGGAACTTGCAAGTGAGACGACCTCTCTCGCCCTCCGGCATCCAAGAGCTGTTGAGGTGCATTGCCATGCTGCCAATGGCTGGAACTGACCTGAGGGCTCAGGTCAGCAGCATGGTTACCAGCTCCGATGCGAGTGAAGCAGGTGGTGGCCTGTGCGCGTCTGGAGGCCTTACAGATGAAGGGCACACTATGCTGAACCAACTTGCAAGCCCAGCTTATCGACGTGACCGCATGTTACCCTTTGCTGCTCAAGGTGCAATGGAGTCTAGAAAAACCGAAGGTCCCCGCATTGTGGTGGTGTCACTCTTCGATGGCATTGCTGCCCTTATGGTGGGCTTATGCAGGCTGCAGTGCAGGGTTGTGGCCTTCGCTTCATCCGAAATCGATGCAAGTTGCAAGCGGCTTGTGCGGCGACGTTGGCCTGGAGTCATAGAGTTGGGCAATGTGGAGAAGATCAACCAAGGTGTCTTGGACAACCTCAGTAAGAGCTGCGGACACGCAGTGGACTTGGTCTTGGTAGGGGGTGGTAGTCCCTGCCAAGACCTCTCTGCTCTTCTGGCGAATCGTCAAGGACTGCAAGGTGCACGAAGCAAACTGTTCTTTGAGATGCCGCGCATTTTCAAAGGGTTGCGGAAAGCCTTCAACTGCCCTGTTCACTCCTTTGTGGAAAATGTCTTCTCCATGACCAAGGACAACAGGGATCAGTTTTCAGCAACACTTGAGGTTGAGCCAATCCTCGTTGACTGCACGGCGTTCTCACAGTGCCGAAGGCCGCGCCTCTTCTGGGTGGACTGGAAAGTGGAAGCTAGGACAGGGGAGGCTCTCCTACAACGAGATGGATACCGAGAATGGATCTTCCCCCCCCTGTTGGCGGACAGGGACTGGTGGTTAGATCCACTCTGTCAACGGGCTTGCAAAGATCCCCTGCCGACCTTGACGAGGGCGCTCCCTCGGGCTTCGCCCCCTCGACAGCCGGCCGGTATTCACCAAGCCTCGCAAGAGGCCATTGAAAGGTGGACCCGGGACCGACATCGCTTTCAGGTTTACAATTATGAAAGCTGGCAGATGGTCCTTCGCCCTGATGGATCTTTGAGATTGCCCAGCCTCATGGAACGTGAACGAGTGATGGGGTTTCCGCAAGGATATGTGTCATGCGGATTGAATCCCAAACTGACCATGGATGAGGCGTTCAACATGGGGGCAAGCATGCTGGGGAACTCGTTCAACGTCTACGCTATTACCTTCTTGCTGGACGAACTGCTCAAGACAGTGAACCCACTCCACCGAACCAGGTGCCTTGACAGCATCCTAGCAAGGGGTGAGGTGGCCCCTCAAGGGTGGTGTAGCAAACCTGAGTTTTTGCCGTCCAGCAAACCTGATGCCGCCTCTGGTAGGTTGGTTCAAGAATTTCTAAGGCAGAGTGACAGAGGTGGTTGTGATGTTAAACTTGATGTAGGCATTCCTTTCAGAACAAAAGCATGGCCGCGTGCGGGAATTCGTTCTAGCCTCTTCAATTGGCGAATCATACATGGATATCCTTGGAAGTTTGCTGCACATATTAATGTTCTAGAGCTTCAAGGGGTTGTCAATAGCTTGCAATGGCGCCTTCGAAAAGTGGACGGCTTTAGGAGTCGACTGCTTCACCTGGTGGACAGCCAGGTTGTGGCGGCAGTGATAGCAAAAGGTCGCTCAAGCAGCCGCCGGCTACGGATTGGTCTTCAAAGATTGTCAGCTCTGAGTCTCTCAGGGGGGCTACAATTGGCCATAGGCTACGTAGCTACTCACGACAACCCTGCTGATCTTCCCAGCCGATGGGCAAACAAACCAAAGTTCAAACTGAAAGGCGCCGACAAGAAAGGAAGAAACAGAGAGCCTCGCTGAAGCTACATGATAAAGTTCTCAGCCCCGGTCTTCATGTGCGTTACCAACAAGCAGCCATGCGAGTTTTGAGGTTCTGGAAGCATTCCGGATCCTACCCAGCTACCTGGGATGATTTCGATGTTGCTACAGGGCAATGGTTGGAGCACCTCTTTGCTGAGGGCTACCCGAAGGGGTATGCCTCAGATGGATTGGCGGCTTTGCAGCACTATCTGCCGGAAATAGCAGGTAAACTTCGTCACAGTTGGCGTTTGCTGAAATCCTGGCAGAAAATGGAGCCGCCAGTCAGAGTGCTACCTATCAGCCCATTGATGGTGGTGGCCATCAGTGGGGCCTGTCTGAAGCTCAACAAGCCAGCGGCTGCGGCAGCATTTTTGGTGTGTTTTGATACCTTTCTACGACCAGGCGAGTTGTACCATTTACGGAAGCAAGACATAACCTGGGCTGGTGGTCAAGCTGTCCTGTCTTTGGGTCAAACCAAGACAGGGCAGCGCAAGAATGCCAGTGAAATGGTTGTGTGCCGAAGCAGAGTTGCAAACTACTGGTTGCTGCACGCCCTCAAGGACAAAGCCCCTGAGGATACCCTTTTGAGCTGCTCGCCTGCTTCTCTTCGTCACCTCTTCTTCACCATTTTGGAGCATCTCCAAATCCCTGGCTATTTTTCCATGTATAGCTTCCGCCGGGGTGGAGCCACATGGGATTTTGTTGTTGCTCAGAATATTGAGCAGACATTACTGCGTGGCCGGTGGGCTTCCACTTCAACAGCACGAATTTATCTGCAAGATGCTGCAGCCACTTTGAGTCATCTGCAAATCACGGGTGACCAGAAACAGTATATGCGACAACTTGCTCAGTTGTTGGCGGCAAAAGCCAGGATGGAAACCGTGGATAGGTGATGTTTTTTCTCTCTTTTTGGTCCTTGGGCATGGCAACATAATTTGATTTTGCCTCCTTTGATGAAGGTCAAAGGTGAGGGATTCCCTGGTGACGGCCAGGGCCCCTTGTACAACAGCTCGAGCCTGCCAAGGTACCATTGTTTAAGAGAGGTGGCAAAGCCATCAGAAATTGAGCAACTCTGGTGGTGGAGGAAAAAGTCTCTGCATTGACATGTCCTTATGATGTATCAGTAGACATGTCAGTAAGAGCTTTTGAAGGTAGCAGCCGGTCTCTGACCTGCAGTTTTCAGATCCCCACCCATCCCACCGCGGATTCAGTTCCGGCGGTGGGACCGCCGGATAGGTGATGTTTTTTCTCTCTTTTTGGTCCTTGGGCATGGCAACATAATTTGATTTTGCCTCCTTTGATGAAGGTCAAAGGTGAGGGATTCCCTGGTGACGGCCAGGGCCCCTTGTACAACAGCTCGAGCCTGCCAAGGTACCATTGTTTAAGAGAGGTGGCAAAGCCATCAGAAATTGAGCAACTCTGGTGGTGGAGGAAAAAGTCTCTGCATTGACATGGCTATGTTAGTCATAACCAGGTTGGGTATATATATATCATCCATATGTTGTCACCATGATATCCATGATATCACCATGGAGTATCCCCAAACCCGATGGCCCAATGATGGCCCAATTAGGTGCTGAATATGCAGAGAAGTGACTTGGCCAATGGCAGATATGGCGGTAGCCAGGAAGAGCTAGGATTCTCCAGAATGGATGTACAAGAGATTGTGTACATTTTATTTACCATCTGGTTATGACTAACAGTTTGCCATGGAAAATCACCATGCTGTTAATAGGTAAACCATCTATTTCTATGGGCCATCTATACCATGGCTATGTTAGTCATAACCAGAGGGGAATTTATCTTAAATATATGAAGATATCATAGTAGATCTGACCAAGAAAGATAGAGTTTCACACGGGGTCAGCCTGCCCGAGGCTTTCACGTTGAACATGTAATAAAAGCCATCTGCAGATGCTGGAATAAACGAGTATTAGCAAAGAACTTGAGAATACATTTCTTCCAAAAAGCAAACAAAAAACACTGGTTGGTGGTTTCAAACATGAATTTTAGTTTCCATTTCATATATGGGATGTCATCCCAACCCCATTGACTTTCACTCCATCATTTTTCAAGATGGTTTTTTAACCAACCAGTTTCATAAAGAGATGACATCATGAACCTCTGAACTCCATGGAACAATCACAAGCACAGCCGATCAGCAGTGCTGATCCCAACCACGATATGTTACAGCTGATTGTTGCGATGTATATATATTTATATATATAGTCCAGTTGCCCACCGTGTTACTACCTATTTTTTGAGCTAGAATATGTGTACATATATACATATATATATATATATACGTTATAGATATGATAGATATTATACATATTATACAGAGATATTATAGATATTGTAGACATTATACATATTACAGATATTACAGATATAGTATACAGTATAGCATATATTAGCATCTGGTTGGTGGTTTCAAACATTTTTTCCATTTCATATATGGGATGTCATCCTTCCCATTGACTTTCACTCCATCATTTTTCAAGATGGTTTTTTAACCACCAACCAGGCATTATATTTCTATGATCTTTCTCGAAATGGAGGTTACCCCCAGCTATGAACTAAGCAGAAGACTCGGTGACGTGAGGTACGTCCAGGAGATGCAGATCAATGGACGATACAACGTGGAGGTCGAGGGACTGGTGAGATGTGAAAATGCCAGGTCAACCAACCATTTAATGCGTAGTGTTCGTAGGAATTTATGGGATTTCATTGGGATTTCATGACGATTTCTGGAGGGATTTTTGGGGGGACTTTATGGGACTTAATCTATTGATATGTATTGATGAAACGAGTTCAAACATGGCTGGCTGGGAAACCCCCGAACTAAACAGAGTCTCAAAGGTTTGTTCATGGGGAAATCATCGAACGAAATGGTGGGTTTTCCAGCAAGCCATGTGACTGATTACCCGAGGGTAACCATCATGGAGGTAAAGGTCATGAACAATTATAACAATTGACAAACCAATCATTAAAAAACAAAAATGGGAACTGTACCAATCATGAGTGGGTTTTCACTAGGTAAAGCTTGGTGAATAGTACAGACATGGGCTGGCCGGTTATGCCCAAATGCGGAGGCGTGTCCTACGGATTTCTTACTTTGATGGGTCTTTGATGTCCGGTATGCAAACAACAAGAAAACACGAGTTGGCAAACGTGTCTTGGGAGACAATTGTTAGATTTCAGCTGCAAAATTAGAACAGAACTGCTAGATAACCTAGAAATGATGGTTGTTTGGTGGTAACATGGGGATATATTAGCTGATTCAATGTCTATTCTTGTCATCCATGATAGGAACGTAAACATTGACCATGATTTGCAACAGAATGGCACATTGGCTAACAGGACGTGTCGTCAGTGCCTCACTGGTTGGTGGTTTGGAACATGGTTTTTTTCCCATTTCATATATGGGATGTCATCCTTCCCATTGACGAACTCCATCATTTTTCAAGATGGTCTTTTAACCACCAACCAGCTCAATTTTTTATATTCCAAGGAAATCTCAAGTGCGGGGTTTTGCCTGGATGAGCCCCCCTACGCTGGCAATGGTGTGTTTTTTTTCTGCCCGAAGATCAGAACAAAACTCGTTGGCGTTGCAGGTTTTCATGGCAGTTTTTCAGGTGCTACCCTCTGGTAAACATAAAAAAAAACTGTGGAAAATCATGGAAAATCAGAATTTTTGATGGAATCAACTATTTCGACTGGGCCATTTTCAAGTTCGCAAACTGTAAACGTTTACCAGGCCGGGTAATATATCCCACTGAAGATGTGGCTCACATCTTCTGACCTGACAAGAAAATCTTCCCAGGGATGAATGACCCTACCCCATGTAGTCATTTTATTACCACGGCTTTTATATTAGGATACACACAGTGTGTATATATAGGTGTATACATATATATATATAGTGTAGATTAGCGTATATAGGGTGTATATAGATATAATAGTATAATGATATATACACACTTCCATATATCTGGGTAAATTATAACGACCTCACTGCGACCTCACTGGGAATAATGGTTAGTAAGGGAAATCATCCCCAAATGGCCTTAATTCAGGTTAGTGAAATATTTTAATTTACCCAGATATATGAGCTCATATATACAGTTCAAGATATGTCCGTGAATTTCTACATATCCCTGCCGCTTGGGCAACAGGCCTGGTGAGAATCAGCACCAGGCGCTGGGGAGGAACCAAGAAACGGGGAGAATACCCGGAATGCTGTAAAAATGAAGCTTTCCTAAAAGGCTGGTATCCCTACATCATCCATTTTCATAGGATGTTCCATTCTAAACCATTCTAAACCATCCATTTTTGGGTACCGATATTCTAGGAACCCCCTAAATCCCCAATAATTTGATCCAATCCCATCCCTCTAATGTCAAAATATGTGGAAAAATACCATCCTTGAAACCCTGGTTGAATATGGAGGGTATTCAATATGAGAGGGATTAGTTTCGTTAGTGAACATTTACGGAAACGATATGCTCAATGCTAATTGAATTGATGGGTTCAATGGATTTCCTTTCGTTGGAGGAAAAAACGTTGAAAGGTTGAAACCACATGTTCTATTCTGAAGATATGGCGGTAAACCTTGCAAAATGTTCCCTTGAACCGATTCAAATGGTTGAATATGGTTGAATATGAGGTACTAGCGAAAGTAATCTGCCCATGGACATATTGAAGCGTTGTTTGGAAACTGCCTTACACATCCCAAAGGTGGCAAACGAGCACGACAAAAGAAGAGTTTCAACGAGTTTGGGGTTTGCCCAAAAAACTGCGTATTGTGGGACCTGAATCCAATGCTCTCCAATCTCATTTGCCCCAGTACAGGTGCCACTTTGATCATTTTGGGGGAATACCAATTCTCAAACATGCAGATATATTGACGCACAGATACATGGATATGAAGCAGCAATATGTACAATATAATCATATATATATATATATGTATTATATCATTAATATAGATGATCTAT